AATTAAATTAAGTAATATATGAACTTTTATTATTATACGTATATATATTTTTTTATCATACATATAAACTACTATACGAATAAAAAAAATTATTTATATAAAAAACTTACGATTTGATTGATCAGCATCGGTGAATTCTGAACAATTATCAATAGATTTACAAGCCTGATAAATAATAAAAGAGCATTTAATAAAATAAAATTTTTTTAAAAAAATTATAAATGTATAACATACTTCTTTATATAAAATAACATACGGCGTATTTTTGAATTGTGGAAAAATTCGAGTTACATATGATAAACAAATTTTATCTATTTTTATAGATGGATCCAATATTTTTCGCAATGATTCAAACATTATGAAAATTATTTAGAATTTATATTATAAAACTACGACTTATCTTATAGAATTCTTTCAAAATACATATTTGAATTAAAGTTATTTAATTAAAAACGTTACTTAAAATATTGTGTTCAAAAATGCATCATAATATGATTTAAACTATAAATAAATATGTTATTTAATACTATAAATTCTAAATTTCAATATTTAAAACTTGATATTAAAATAATTTTAAAATTTAATATATTAACATAAATTTATATATTATGAATATAATCAAAAACATATATACATTTGGTAAAAAATATATATATATAATAATATATTATGTATTCAAAGATAATTTTTAGTTGATTTTTGGAACAGTACTGAATATTCGTAGGTTTCGTCTTCAGACAGTTTCGAGTTTGCGCTACTCGCAGTGGAAGACATCGATATGTCAATACTTCTACGGTACGAAATCTTTAAAGAAAGTATGATGTCGTAAAAATACAAAAATATATTCAAAAAATAATCGTAGTTACGATAGTGATTAGGTTATGAAAAAGTCGAACAAATATTGGACAGGTGTGGGTAACATTTCAACAGTGTGTTTGTCCGAAGTAAAGAGGGACCGTGAGGACCTCGAAGACAATCTTCCGACTTTTTACATGAAGGAACAAGATATTCCTGAATATCTTGAAGGCTGTGGTTTAACCACCTGTACAGCCGGCGACATGCCTGAGGATGTAGACGTTCTACGGGATAATAAAGAGCACGCAAAAGAAAAAAAATTATCATCTGCGTCCATAGCAGGACCTGATACCAAAAAAACAGTAACTGTCAAACATCCCGAATCAAATAAACCGAAACCAACTACAAAAAAAGGCAAACCGATACAAGCAGATTTAGATGTTTCTAAAGAATTTACAAGATGTAAAGAAGAATGCTTAGAGCGACTGGATTTAAGTAAATCTAACATTACTCATTTACCAAGTACAGTACGGGATTTGACGCATTTAATCGAGTTTTATCTATATGGTAATAAACTCGTAACATTACCGCCAGAAATCGGTTGTCTTGGAAATTTGGAAACATTAGCTTTGAGTGAAAATTCTCTAACAAGTTTACCAAATACATTAGAGAATTTGAAATCTTTAAGAGTTCTTGATTTAAGGCATAATAAGTTGAGTGAAATACCTGATGTTGTGTACAAGTTGACGAATCTCACAACTTTATTTTTACGCTTTAATCGAGTTCGATATGTAAGTGATAATATACGCAATTTGACAAATTTGACAATGCTAAGTTTGAGAGAAAATAAAATCAGAGAACTTCCAGCTGGTATTGGCAAATTAATCAATTTGATAACATTTGATGTTTCTCATAATCATTTGGAACATTTACCTGAAGAAATTGGAAATTGTGTCCAGTTATCTACACTTGATTTGCAACATAATGAGCTTTTGGATATTCCAGATACAATTGGAAATTTAATCTCATTAACAAGATTAGGACTCAGATATAATAGATTAACTAATATTCCAAAGTCCTTAGCAAATTGTAAATTAATGGATGAATTTAGTGTAGAAGGAAATCAAGTATCTCAATTACCAGATGGACTACTTGCAAGTCTCTCTGATTTAACAACAATCACATTATCTAGGAATGCTTTTACTGCATATCCATCAGGAGGACCAGCTCAGTTTACAAATGTTTATTCTATTAATCTTGAACATAACAAAATAGATAAAATACCATATGGTATTTTTTCTAGAGCAAAGAATCTTGCAAAGTTAAATATGAAAGAAAATCAATTAACTGCTTTACCATTAGATATTGGTACATGGATCAATATGGTTGAATTAAATTTGGGTACAAATCAACTTACAAAAATTCCTGATGATATTCAATGCCTTCAAAATTTAGAAGTTTTAATATTATCTAATAATTTACTAAAACGTATTCCTGCCAGCATAGCAAATTTACGTAAACTCAGAGTGTTAGATCTTGAAGAGAATAAAATTGAATCTTTACCAAATGAAATTGGTTTTCTAAGAGACTTGCAGAAATTAATTTTACAATCCAATCAAGTTACTTCTTTACCAAGAGCAATTGGACATTTAACAAATTTAACTTATTTAAGTGTTGGAGAAAATAATCTAAACTATTTACCTGAAGAAATTGGTACATTAGAAAATTTAGATTCACTTTATGTAAATGATAATGCTAATTTACACAATTTACCATTTGAATTAGCTCTATGCACAAATCTCAGTATTATGTCAATTGAAAATTGTCCACTTTCTCAAATACCACCAGAAATAGTTGCAGGAGGACCTTCCTTAGTAATTCAGTTTTTAAAAATGCAAGGACCCTATCGATCCATGTAACAAAATTAAAAAAATTATTTTATGACTTAGATGTCGATTCTTAATAAGAGTGATACAGAAATGATATTTGATATCAATATTTATTAATATTAAATTTTCACTGTAATGATCTCACATCAATAAAAATTATATAAATATAAATATATAATATGAAAAAAATGTGCATATATTTATATTCTCATAAGGTGAACTATAAATAATCATATATCTGCGATACATTTTCAATGATACATGAGAAAAGAAACATATATATATAAATATATTGTAATTGTAATTATAAAATTGGTGCTTGAAAATATGCACAACAAGTAATAAAACTTACAAGAAAATGAAGTCATAATAAAATATTTTAGATACAATAAAAAAAACATTACATTCATATTTTATTAATATGATATAATTTATGATATTTTATTCATTTATTTTATCTGTTTTATATATATTATTTAGTAATCTTATAAAATGTAATATATCTTAATTTTCATGCAATATATTGTTTTACTATTGTATATTATAATTCTATATTACAATTATTTTATAATTTGATAACTTGATAATATTTATGCCATAACAAATTCATTGAATTTACAGATTTATTACATAGATACCTGAAAATATTCTTAAATATATAGTTATTATTTTCAGGATATAAATATTATAAATTATATATATATATATATATGGAATGAATAATAAATTATTCAACTGAAGAAATACAATTAAGAATCGGCATCAACAATTTTACATTTCAGTTACTGCTATTCATTGCCATATAAACAAAATATTTTGATGATAAAATTAAACTAATTTTTAAAATAATAAGTTTACCTTGTAATATAGTATGAAAGTATATTTTATTAGTTATTTCATATTACATTATCATTATAAAAGCTTCAATTATAAGAAATTTTATAAGAAACTATTCTTCCAGAAAAAATATCTATTTATATAATTTAACACATACTATAATGAATA